AACTCCGGAGATGAATAATGGTGGGAGGTGCGACTAAGTAGTTGATGAAGATGAAGAAAATGAGGCCGAAGGTACCTTAGTAAAACGGTGCTCTGGAGACAAGCGTAAGCTGATCTAGGGGCGAAGCTGGTGACTCAAGTGGTGGATAAGGTTTGGAGGAGAGTGAGAGTGAAGCTTGCGAGGTGGATAAGACTATGGTGAAAAGAAGTCCAAGAGCAACACGTGTTGCTCTAGGAGTGGGCTTGGTACAAAATCAGGTATCAACATTAGCCCCGTTGGTCGCGTGAGTTATGCAGTGTAGTGAGATAGTCCGCGGGAGAAATTCGCATGTATGTCATTAGAGTGACTGGAGATCTGCTTTGGAGCGGTTCTGTGTAGTCGATATGATCAAGTACCTGAAAACATAAGCAATGCAGCGTCTCTTTCGAAGACAAACGTTAGACAACGTCTCTGGGGCACTTATGGTATTACACTACGGTCACCAGTAGCCACCATGAGGTCGAACGACTGAGTTGCATAATTTTTTATTATAATATTTTAATTTTTCAATTAATGTGAAGTTACTGTTGCATCCCTCATATGAACTAAATAGCCATTTGTTTGATCAACCTATGATGTATCCCTTCTCCCACAAGATAATTGTTGCCAGTAAATATTAGAGTATCTCCGATCCAATATTATAATTAATGTGCCTATAGCAAGTTTAATATTTGAATACAAAACACTCTCCAATGTAATGTTTTTTGTTATGCCAAATTTCTTATATACTTATTTTGTAGTAAATTTTTTATCAAGTATAGTATATAAAACATTTAGCATTTGATTATTATTGGTTGAAATGTTTATTTTTTCATGTAATCATCATTGCAACTTTTATATTTTCTAATTATTTTAAAAATAAAAGTTTATATTTATAACTTTTAAAGATTAATGATTATGAAAAAAATGTAGATTTAACATTTTAAATAGCATTATGTATTAGATAAAGATGAAAATAATATATCATATTATACTTTTTAATGCAAAATATATAATTGACATTAACAAGTAGTCTTAAACAAGTGCCTTAATGTCGTCTCTCGTCCGGCTACAGATTGGAGACTCTGACTATATTAAAAATAAAAAATATATAAATATTTTAAGTTAAATTGTTACTCTGGTTTAGATCATGCCTCAAATTTCATAAACTGGGCTGGACTAAGTTTAAACAGTCTAGCCGGTCTCAGACCACTGCAAAACGTTGAGATCGCAAGCTCATTTCTGGTAGAGAAACAAATGACTCGTTCATTTTACTAATTCGAGTTTTCAGTTTTAAGTTTTTACAGTAAAAAGTTCTTAAAAAATATCACATCAAACTTTTCTGTTACAGTGAAAAACTCTCAAAAAATGTCACATCTCAGCTCGAATTAAAAATTCAAATCCGCGAAGTAAACGAGGCATTCACTTTACAAGCTAAAAGTGGCCAAGTGGGGACCTGTTTTTCGTAAAGTAGTTTGAGTGGGCTATAATTAGAAAATCTAGAATATTTAAGGGATAATTAAACTATAATTAATATAATGAAGCACTTTTAAGTAAGCAAAGGATGCTCGTTCTTCGAAATTGTTTTCCTGAGGAGATTATTGGTTGTAATAAAATCTGTTTGGACAATGTGGTTCCAGCATTAGCAGCTTCTCCATTAATTTTGTTTATTAGCTAGTGCCTCGAAGTGCTAGATGACTATACAATGAAAGACATTCTGATGTGATATTTGACTTTTTTTTATTTTTATTTTATTTTTTATTTTTATGCGCTGCTATCCAGTGGGGAGTGCTGAAAGTAATTTAGAATTAAAAATATATGTTATTTCATTCTTCAATAAGAGAAAATTAGAGAAAACGTGTTTATGAGAAAATAGTAATTGATAGAGTTGTTTTTCTAAAAAAAAAAATTCTTGATTAGAGACACATTTAAGAAAAAATATTTTAATATGTCACTTTGGATATAGCTTAGATTATATAAAAAAATATTTTAGAATGGACAAAGAAAAACTGTTTTTGTAAGAATAAAGTAGAGAAAAAAAAAAGTTTCAGTTAGGCACATTTAAAATTAAAAGATTTAATTAAAAAAATACCAAAAGAACATTAAAAAAATTGAAATTAGATTTTGAGTGGATATATTTAAATTTTTATTAATAAATGGGGTATATATGAAATTTTTTTAAACACCATGCCTCACCTCCCACCGCCAGTGATTACATGAAGATATCTACAATAGAGATATAGATAGTTTGTATTTGTTTTTTGTCGAAATCATATCAAGTACAGTAATATGTAAAATTATTTAAACCGGATATAAAGGCTAATGATTTAAAATAGCGATATATCAATTGGTATATTTACGTACTCTATCATAAAACTTTAGAGCTCCACACCACAGAGGAAAAAAAAATTTTGAAGGAAAAGATGAAAACTAAGGTACATCGCAACGCCATTTTAGTCTAAAGTCTCAACTACTGAATGACGAAAAGAAACCATATCAGCCATTGAAATAAAAGTTGTAAAGCTAAAAGCAGAAAAAATATTATCTAGAATTCATATTGTTTCTTTTAGTTTATGAATTATAATTATGTTTGATTTACGTGTATTTTTTTATGAGAAAAAATACTATAACGAATTATGAATCATGATTCAAATTATAGTATGAATTCCCTTATCAAACGTCTTATTTTGTGTCTTGTAGTTGAATGTGTTGTCAAATGAAAGGATGACATTTGAAGACCCTGGTAGGGGATTTAGATAATGTTCATATCAATTTACATAATAAATAAATAAATTAAGAATTTCTTTTTTTATTATTATTTTATTTTCATGAGCTGCATTTTGAGGTTATAAAAAACTTGTACCTTGTATTTTAAACTCCAGAACTTTTATACCTTCACATTTCAATATCATACCTTAGCTGCATGGCCGTTTGTAAACAAGCCAAAACAAAAAAAAAAAAAAAACAAAAAAAAAAATCACACACACACACTTCTTCACTTGTACAAGGAGTCCATACCTTAGCTGCATGGCCGTTTGTAAACAAGCCAAAAAAATAAAAAGAAAAATCACACACACACACACTTCTTCACTTGTACAAGGAGTCCATAAAGATCATGACCAAGTCTCACCTCTTCAATGTCTATGACTGGATATAAAACAGAGGAGAAGAGAATCGAAGCTCTCTATGATCATTCATGGATATGTAGAGCACAATTGACGTTGTGATGGACACCACGGCAGAGCTTAGAAGGTTGAAGGCGCTCCAAAATCGCCTCTCCTGAAGACCCCAAATCGTCCACGTTAACAATCCCAACCCATTCATCAACATTCCGAGCAAATTCGCCATCGTCGACAAAATGCAGAACCAAACACAAAGATGAAGAGATACTGCAAGGAGAACAACAGAAGAAGAAAAAAAAAAAGAGCCTTTGGTTTGAAGTTAAACTCTCTACGCAAAAAACAAAAATGATGGGTCCTTGAAATAGCCCATCCCTCTCTTTTAAACCTTTTTTTTTTTAATTTTATTTTATTTTTTCTTTCCTTTTGCTGGTGGCCCCAGTAGGTCTCGTACTTATCGACTTTAAATTCTAATCAACTTTGTTGACGGTAAAAACTCGTCAACAGAAATAGGTCGGGTTACTATTAGATATCTCGTTGGATTACCAGTTTATTATTGACTGTATACTTAATATATACAGTGAAGTACCCGACCTATTTCTGCTGATGAGTTTTTACCGTCAACAAACTTCAAAAGCCAAAACACAGTTAGGAAAACAATACCAAACGGAGTCTTTGTCTTTAGTAATCTCTTCTTTGAATGTTGTATTATGAAGCCTTATTTAAATACTTTCGTAAGTGGAGTCACATTAAGAGCTACTATATTGATATTTTTTTTTTCTAAAGGAAAAAGTATTAGAAGGATATACATGTGCTAGCTAGAAATTTGGGCCTCGTTGAGATATGATTTTATGTGAGAGCTTTTTACTGTAGCAAAAAAAGTTAGATGTGATTGTTTATGAGAGCTTTTTACTGTAGAAAAACTCAAATTCTAAACTCGAATCAGCGAAGTGAACGGGGCCTTGGTATTGATTTTTCTTGGTCTATCAATGTCCCAAGTGGTTGAGATTGAGCTGCCAAGTAGGTCTCACTCTTGTTTCTTTCCAAAATAAACAAGTCGCATATGGACCTCAGTGTATCACCCAAGAAAATTATCTACGTAGATTGTGTCAGTCAATTATTTTCATGGCTCCACACAGTGAATAAGAAAGATTTGGTAGCCATTATTTTCATGCACGTAGTTATGAACTGGACATGGTTGATAATGTAATTGGGTTAGTTTTCTATCAAGATACATAATACATCTCATGCTTTTAAATTTGTACCAAAATTATTTATTCTCCATATTTCTTTTAATCTAATATAATTTTAACTAGGTCGGAAAAAATCCCAAAAAAATTAAAGTGAATGTGGGCATCACTTTTATGTCCTTGTATCCTTTGCTCATATCCGTACAATCATTTCATGCTTCAATTGTAAGTATTTTTGTTATTATTATTATTGAAAGATGACTAAGCATTCTGATTCAATTATTGTAAATGTTGTTTGTTCTTTTTAGGCCAACATGGAGTAAATAAATTATGAAATTAGTTCATTTCAGTCAATCTCCGACAATTTTGCACTAGTTGAAGCAAATTATGTTGTTGCACAACAGAAAAATGAAAACTTAGAAGATCCTTTTACGATCTCATTCCATGATTTACAATATTAATGCCAAGAATAAAAAAATTCACATGGAAAGAAATACATATAATTTCATCTGTTAAAGCCTACGGTTCAAAATCCTCATAAAACAAATATTTTACCAATCTCCTATCATTACCAACCACATGACAAATTAGAGCATAAACAGCAAAACACTCTCAAACTTTAAGTAATTGACATTAGCATTAAAATAAAAAACAATTAGTTAAATAAGCTGGCCTTAAAACATTGTTATCTTATGAACATGATGACTTTTGCTTCTAGAGTACACATAAGTCTTGACCTTAATATCTTCCTCAAACTCACACGGCTTGTCCTCGTCAATCCGGCCGATTCCGACGCTCCGACTCCTCTGAAAGTTGTTCGGTTTTGCGGTCATGACCGGAGACTGCTGCTGCTGCTTCGTTGAAGAAACTCTCACAAGCTCTCTCTGCAAGTCGCCCGTACTACTATTGCTTGACCTCGTTGAGCCAACACTGAAGCTCTTAGGCAAAGTGGTGATTTGGGCCGCAGGGCAGCCCATGAAGGTCCCATAATCGAATTGGCCAGAACACTCACTCATGCTCTTAATATAGAAGTCTTTGACCTTTATCAAAGCCGTTATGGGCGCTTTCATGATCTTGTTGAGCCTGCTAGTTTCTTTGGCAGCAGCTTTGGCTAATTTGGTCATGCTTGAAGGGAAAAAGAGACTGAAATTACGAGAAGAAAAGGGAAAATGAAACAGTTTCCTTGTGGAAGATTATGATGGGATGGGTTTGGGAAGATACATAATTGTGATGCTTTTCATGTGTACCAATTACAGATCGAGATGATGATTGAAATATTTATTGTGGTTTAATTAGAAGGACAAACTAAGAAAATGATGTTTTTTTTTTTTTTTTTTGGAGGACTGAAAAGAAACTGAATTAGGACGTGTGGACCTTGTCAAATGCAGCCGGACTTTTTAAAGAAGAAAATTTATCATTAGGGAAGGTACACACTTGGTTTTTTTTTAAACAATATATAATTCCTGAAACTAATTTCAGAACACAGAATATGGTGAACAAAAACCAACCAATGAGAAGAAGAAGATCAAGAAGAAGAAGAAACTTATGGGACGTTTGGAAGGGGAATTTAGGCCATAATTTTAATTATGATTCGTGACTCGTAATAGTATTTTCTCTCATAAAAAATACACGTAAAATGAAAATGATTCTAAATCCATGGATCAAACGTCCTCTTAATAATAAAATTTCTTGTCGACTATACAATGAGAACTTGATGAGAAAAGTATATGTGTATGTTGTTTTACGTGAAAAGTGGAATGTGAACTGATTTATATACATAAAGAATTCAAGACTCAATAGGTTAACTTCTCTTGAAATGTGTTGGGCTATTTTGAGTCAAGTTGAGCTCTTAAAATGTGTTAGGTCAATTTCACATGTAGAGTATTCTTAATAAGTGGTATCAATTTTTACGTATGTGTATTGTCCCACATGAAAAGTATATGAGAATGTTAAGTGATTTATATACATAAAATGATTTAAAATCTCATAAATTAATTTTTGAAATCAAAATAGACTCATAAAATATGTTAGGCCAGTTTTACATGTGAAGTCTTCCTAACATAACTATTTATATGTTTTAATGTTTTCAAAGGTTAGGAGAACGGACACGCAAAAAATTCTGTTGCGCAGTGTGAGTTAGACATATGTACATATAAGGTTAATGGAATTGTGAATGATTATTATTCTAACCTGAAAAAAATAAGAATTTGTATATCTCTATTTTTTATTCATAAGCTCCGTATCAAATTTATATGATACATATTTTTTTTATTTTAATTTAATTTTAATTAGATATTTTGAACATGATTTGCCCCTAATGTATTTGTTATAAATTACCCTATTTAGTTGAATTTTTGCTCCAGCTGGTTTTCTTCATTGATTGTGATCTCTTTATCTTCCAATCACTTTTATAAGAATATGATGAGGACAACGCATGACAGAAGCAAACTTTATATTAACGGCAAAAGATAAGGACGAGAACTAGTTGGCTAGTCCAATCACAAAATGCAATTTTCTTTTGTTTTTTTTTTATATAATTTAAAGTACATGTGAAATAAACATAAATATTGAACTTGCGTATAATTACAATTAAGGATCAATTCTTATATGACTTTTTCTTAGCCCTAGCTCAATTTTGTTTAGTATTCATGGAGCTGCCGAGTGCCGGCTACTGCATTTCTTATATTATACGCAAGAAATTCAAATTATAAAACGACGAATTCCTTTTGTTTGTTTTTTTTTTTTTTTTTTTTTTTTTTTTTTTTGAAGTACGAGATGCCATTGAACTTAGTACTCTGTCTGAAAATATTTCGGTATTTTTTTTTGAAACAACCTCAATTATAATATTTGGTTGTCTTTAATAAACAGAAAAGTCATTAAAAAAGAAATGACCTTTTAACATTTTAGCTGAACATCGGTGCGTTTAGAATTAATTTTAAAATTATTTTATTTTTAATAAAAAATAAAAATAAAATTATTTTAAGAATTATTTTAAAATTGTGTTTAATTAATTTTTTAAGAAATTATTTTAAATATAATAAAAAAAATTATGTTTATTTTAATTCATTCATAAAAATTATTTTCACTATTTTTATTTTTAAAATATTTACTAAATGAATATTATTTTATTTTTATTTTTTATTTCTCAAAATACGTAAAAATCATTTTAAAAAAAAATTCAAAACACGCACATCATTGCTCTCTCAGTAGGGGAAACGACAATTTTAAGCTTTATTAAGATCACGTTTGGTTGAAGGATTTAAATTATGTGATTTGAATCATTTTTTATTTACGTGTATTTTTTGTGAGAAAAAATACTGTAACGAACCATGAATCATAATTCGAATCAGGAACGAATCCCTCTACTAAACATCTTCTAATTATTTTTTCCTTTATTACCCTTCTTGCTTTTTTGTTTTTAATTTCTCCTGTTCGCCTTTATCACTTCCGACCAAGATCCACTCCTGCTCCTCCGACGACCCTCGCCGGCGTCAAATCCTTTTCCGGTTAGATATGCCGATTAAGCACCACAAGCACCGATCTGACACTCTCGGTCCTCTAAGCCCATCTCCTCCTCTGACCCAGATCTGCACCTCGTCACCAAATTCGCCATCTCCGCCGCACCTACCAGATGCGCAGATTTCCTCGAACCTACGTTCGTATTGTTACCTCCTCACTGGGTTGCCATCTCCGTCGCACCAGTAGCTTGAGTTCCATCTCTGCCGCCTCAAACTGCTCACCAAACCAAAACAACAAACCGACCTCTGTTTTGTATTGATTTGATCTGAACATGTCCAACCCCCAAATCAGAACATGTTCTATGCTTTGTTGAAAGCATCGATGAAGTGGAAGACAGCCGCTCCATGAATTTTTTTACCCAAAGCAAGTTTATTTTAATTCATGGTGGGTCATCAAATTCAGCGTTTATTTTAAAGAAATTTAGGGACCAAACTTCAACCTGAAAGGCTCTTTTTTCTACCATATAAATCATCCCAAATCAATTAAGAATGTGTTTTTACACATACACCCTAAATTAAGGGATTATGTGAGTTTCTTTAAAGAGCTAAATTGTATCTGTTTTAAACGATTAAGGGTTAATTTATCAAGAAAAAAAAAGACTAATCACTTATTAAATAAATTAGAGATTATTTATGCTAATAACTCATATTAAAATTATATTTTGACCCTAAATTTTTAAAAATTACATTTTAATTCCAAAATTTTCAAAAATTACATTTTGATCTTAAAATTATTAAAATTTTACATTTTAACTCTTTAGACAATAGTCGTGACACAATACACCATGTATAATATAATATAATATAAACTACCATGGCCTATATGTATATATAAAATATGTGCATGTGTGTTGGCTTGAGTATGGATAGAATACCCATTGTTTTTGCGGCTATTCTAACAGGGACAGATAATACCTTCTTCTTTATTTTTATTTTTATTTTTATTTTTTTTTACAAGATCTCATTTTCAACACTATTTATATAAAGTGGGTTTCATGTATAAGTGAGATCTAACTTAATAAAGCTTATTTTTTTTATGAGTATATAATAGAAATTTATTCCCACGAGGATAAATAACTTTTTTTTTATCGATGACTTAAATCCTATCTAAAATAATTCGAGCAAAATAATGTCGGTGTATATATTGACTTACTCTAACATTAGTTTAAAAGATACCTTTTACTAAATTATGTTATTAGGATCGTCGCGAATTTATTAATTCTCAATTATGATGGGATTAGAACAAGAGCATCAATGAGTTTCAGAAAACAAAAAACAAAAAGAATAAGAGATCAATGAACGCGTCGAAAGCAATATTTGTTTGATCCATGTTATGATTCACGAGGGCATATATGATACAATTTTTAATATTTTTTATTATAATTTATTATAAAAAAGAATAATTAATTTTGTGCTTGTCGCATACTTTTTGGTGATGAAATTCGAAATACTATGAGATCTTCGGGTTATTTGTATTCTTAGATATCATGTTATGATTCATGAGGGCATATATGATACAATTTTACAGTATATAAATATAAATTTTTATTCATTATTCTTCTTGATTAAATAACTATATCAATCAAAAATATTAATAAAAGTAAAAAGCAATTAGCAATTCTCTCTTAATTGATTTCCATTTAAGATTGTTGGACGTCCGCCCCATTTTGTGGGCTCTACTACTATGGGCTTTTAAGCCATGTTCCTAAAAAATAGAAGTAAGAGAGAAAGAGAAAAATAGATTAAGATTTGAGATGAATTAAAATTAATAGGTCAATAGTTTACATAAATTAATAAATAGATTAAATTAGTGTTTTTGTTCATAACTTATCTGGTTATAAATCATAACTTGACAAGTTATTGTCTATAATTGTCCATAACTTGTCTGATTATGAACCATAACTTGACAAGTTTATCCATAACTTATCTGGTTATGAACCATAATTTGACAAGTTATGACCTATTAATTTCTATAACTAAAAATTGACCTATATACTTTGTTAAGTTTTTCATATTGGCATATTTTCTCCTATTTCCCTAGAAGTAATTACATGAAATGAAATGCCTATTTTTAAACTTATATTTTACAAATGTCGATGGTCTGGTGAAACCCCACCTCACTAGCGACGCACTATCCACCACAACACCAAAGACCAAAAAAAAAAAAAAACCAAAAAAAAAAAAAAAAAATCTACAAAGGGGCTGAACCAACTCAAGGGAAAATAAGCGACATTGCTACGTGGGAGCCACGTGCTGCCACTACCGCCACCAAGACATGCCCGACCTCCACTAGGACAACCACTATGGTAAAGACCTCATACAACAGGCCTTACAGAAACACGCATCATTAGAAGCGGCCAAGCCACCACCACAAACTCTGAGCAGTCCATTAATCACTCCACCCCCAGCAGATATAAAATAACGCAATGGACAAAAAATCCCCAAAGCGGCGACGCCGTCGAGAAACGCCGATGAAGCTAGAGAAGGATGCCAGATTTTCAACAACACCGCTCCTCAAACTCGTCGAAGAGATCCGCCTCTCTTGCCACACGATCGACCCCATCTCACCTAAGCAACTGTCATAAGACCACGAGAACTATCTCTAGGGCCATATGTCCAACAGACGTCACATTTGTATCATAAATTATCTATTTTTTTTATCTTGACGTAATTTTAGGCCTCGTTAATTTCACCGATTCGAGTTTTATTATAGTAAAAAATTCTTAAAAACAGTTATATCTAACTTTTTTTTTACTGTAGTAAAAAATTATCATATAAAATCACATATCAACTCAAATTAACGAAGTTATATCTAATTTTTTTTTACTATAGTAAAAAATTATCATATAAAATCACATATAAACTCAAATTAACGAACTAAACAAGTCCTTAATAATAAATTATCGGTATGAGGTTAGGCCATGAAAAAATCTTAGCTTTTATATGGCAGCTAAAGCCCTACCCTTCAAATTTGAAGTTTGGTGGTAACCCAAGCCACTGTTATTGAAACTTTCACATGATAAAAAAAAAAATCAGTGAATTCACTTTTTAAAGGCATTATTTTAAGGTTTTTAATTTTTAATTTTTGATTAATTATTTATTAATTAATATAATTATTTAATTAAATTATATAAATTAAAAATAATAGTAAAAATTTAATAATTTTAAAGAGTATTTATTTATCTTTTTAAAGAAAATATTTAAAACACAAATATTGGGAGCGAAGCCCCTTTTTAGAAAAGCGCGGAGATGCACGTGATGTGAGTCCCCCGTCCAAGAAGTAGTAAAAAGAAAAAAAGAACATTTTGAATTTCGTTTCATGATCACGTGTTACACTGTTACTAAATGCCAATTGCCAAGTATCACGAGTCGCAAGGGAAAAAAAAAAAGAAAAGCTAACGACCACGTGGGCTTCTTATAGAAAAAAGAATGATAAATGACGTAAAGGGTAAAGAAAAGCTAACGACCACGTGGGCTTCTGTTCTATAAAGAGATAAAAAATGATAAATGACCTTATTTGTTTCGTAGATTTAAGTTTAAAATTTGAGTATAACTATCATGATATCACAAGTTCATAATAAAATTTAAAATATATAATGAAAAATATATGTATTTTTTAGTTTTTTACGAGTTTCGTGTCGTGTTCAGTTTAAGCGGGTCCAACCCGAAATTGACCTGTATTTTTCGTGTCAATTTCAGGTCGACTAAATTCTGACCCGAACATCTTTTTTCTCAACCCTAACCCGTAAAATTCGTGTCGTTTTCGAGTCGTGTCGTCATATCGTGACCCATATTGCTGGCCCTACCCCTTGCTCTTTCTCTCTCTCTTTCTCTCTCCTCTATTTCCTTCACCGCCGGCCTCCCTCTCTTTCCCCTTTACTCCGACCGACCACCCACTCTCTCTCCCTCTCTCACTAGTGTTCTCTCTCTCTCTCTCTCTCCCCCTTGCTCTCTCTCTTTCTCTCACCTATCTCTCTCTCCGGTTTGTTCCTGCCGAAGCAGAAAAGAAGAAAAAAAAGAGAGAAATAGAGGGAGCAAGTGTCCTCAATTAATTTGAGATAAGATTTTATATAATGAAAAATATATGTATTTTTTAGTTTTTTACGAGTTTCGTGTCGTGTTCAGTTTAAGCGGGTCCAACCCGAAATTGACCTGTATTTTTCGTGTCAATTTCAGGTCGACTAAATTCTGACCCGAACATCTTTTTTCTCAACCCTAACCCGTAAAATTCGTGTCGTTTTCGAGTCGTGTCGTCATATCGTGACCCATATTGCTGGCCCTACCCCTTGCTCTTTCTCTCTCTCTTTCTCTCTCCTCTATTTCCTTCACCGCCGGCCTCCCTCTCTTTCCCCTTTACTCCGACCGACCACCCACTCTCTCTCCCTCTCTCACTAGTGTTCTCTCTCTCTCTCTCTCTCCCCCTTGCTCTCTCTCTTTCTCTCACCTATCTCTCTCTCCGGTTTGTTCCTGCCGAAGCAGAAAAGAAGAAAAAAAAGAGAGAAATAGAGGGAGCAAGTGTCCTCAATTAATTTGAGATAAGATTTCTTGAAAATCTCACTATTAGATTTGAATTTTTAACTTGAGAAATTGTCATTTTAGTTAGATTTGATAAATTTTAGTTTAGATTTAGATTTGGATAAATTATGGATAAATTTAGGTTGAATTTTGAGTTTTTAATTTTGAAGTAGTGTTAAAATTTTAAACGGATTATTTATAATCACTAAAAATTCTGAATTTTTATCCGATAATTAAACCCGATTTATCCGAATTTGTAAACTGCCCGACCCGACCCGAATTTTCTACTTAACGGGCTTCGGGCATCCTTGGCTGAATAAAAAGTTAAAAACAGTCACGACCCGAATATCAAACTAATAATATGCGGTAGGTAGAACATAACTTGGCAAGATTTCTTTAGCCAGAAGTGTTATCTTCAACTTACTTTTGCTGTTACACTCTTTTGAAGAGAACATGGATACAGTTAGGCATTCCACCAAAGTTCTCAAGTGTACTTATATTCATCTATTCATTTGTTTGATATTTTTCTCTGACTCTGTGGTTCCCTCTTCATCAATTGTCAAATCACTACCGGGATTTACCGGTCCTCTTCCTTTCTATCTTGAAACTGGGTGAGAGTCTAAATCATTTTCTCATGTAGCATTGTTATTATTATTGAAAGGGATGATTTCTTCAATTTTGTTGTTTTTTCTTCTGTATATTACAGATCATATATATATATATATCATGCTACAACTAGTTTAATAAGTACCATTAATTAATTTTTGCAGATATATAGCAGTGGATGAGAAGGAAGATGCTCAGTTTTTTTATTACTTTGTTGAATCCGAAGGGAGCCCAAGAGAAGATCCTCTTATGCTCTGGTTCATTGGTGGACCTGGGTGCTCTGTTCTTTCTGCACTTACTGTTGAGATTGGTTAATGTCACACCTCTCTCTCTCTCTCTCTGTTTTTTTTAGGTTTAAGAATGGAAGATCAATATATAAATGTAGAAAAGAATATACAAAAGCTGTAGACTAGAAACTAAAAGGAAATATATAAAAAAGCCCTAAAATCATCGAACCAGAGGGAGAAGGAGCCGGCGGAGGGATGTGGGGGGCTCAGAGTTGGCTCTTTTCTAGGCGGGCGATGATTGTGGCGGGGTTAGCTCTTTTGTTGACCGGTGGCGGTAGATATTCTTTGCCGTTTTTTTTTTTTTTTATTTTTATTTTTTAAAGGATGTTAGGCTAGTACTTAAGTTCATTTATTCTAATTCGTTTGATGATTTTGGTACGGAACCAGATTGTGCTTTTGCAGCTCTTGTATATGGTTGTTCTACTAGGATATTGGCATAATCGTTGAGGCTTAAGGTGTGGTTTGAAGATCAAACCATATACCATTTCTCTTCTTGTTCGGTCTTAATGGTATATGAAAAAGAGTCCATTCTAGATGGGAAAAGTCCATTTCCTGCTGTAAGAATTTAGATTAGTCGACCTTGTGCGTGTTTTGGGTGGCCAAGGAATTGATCATAATTGCCAGCAAAAAAAAAAAAAAAAAAAAGTAATTGATCATAATTTCTTTTTTTTATTTTTCTTTTTTTATTTTTAGTAAGTCTACTTGTTTCTCTTTTTGAATAATTTATATGATGAACTTGGGCTGTGTAGGTCCCCTTCGGTTTAACATAGTTGAGTACAATGGCAGCCTACCAACATTAGCACTGAATACATTATCCTGGACAAAGGTACGCAAAATTTCATTGTCTACGTTTTATTTGTTGGTTTGTTTGTTTTGTTTTTCTTTTTTTTTTTTTTTTTTGGTTACAATCTTCCTCTTCTCGTCCTATTTTCTAATTATGTTTAGTGGAAAATTGCATTGATTTTTATAGGCTGCGAGTATAATATTTATAGATGGACCTGTTGGCACTGGATTTTCATATTCAAAGAGCCGGCGGGAAGGATACCAGACTGATGACATTTTGTTTGCCGATCAAAGTCTTGTGTTTCTGAAAAAGGTGATAATCATTTTAATTTGCATTGGTCAAAATACAAAGATAATCATTAGTAGTTACTAGGTATGTTGCAGTGCATGTCAAGAAATTCAAGAACTAAGCTATTCTGCTTGTTTGCTAGGTTAAAAGCATATTTTATTTATTTGCTTATGGTACTTAAACTCATTGGTGGAGCCACATTATGTTGAGTGTGGATACTAATTCTCCACTCAACTTTCAAGATTTTAGTTCTTTACCTTCATTTTTTGTTTTATTTTGTTTTTTTTTTTTTCTTTTTGTGCACCAATACTCCCTAAACTTTATGGTTTTTGACAAATCAGTCCCTCAAAAAACACTTGGGTAATTAACCCGTCAAACTTAGAAATGTGTTTGCATAATTGGTCTAAAACGTCTATTCAATTTAAACTACTTTTTATACGTGAGTCACACGTATTATATAATTAAAGGAATGGGTGGTCATTTTGCAAAACATTTTTTTTTTTCACTATATATGTTTTTGTTTTGTCTGGCAGTGGTTACTAGCTCACCCCAAGTTCATCTCCAATCCACTCTATATAGGCGGTGACTCTTATGCTGGCATCATCGTCCCTGTAGTTGCTGAAGAAGTAGTAAAGAGTAATGACATATAAAAGCTAAAAATGAATTTATTATTGTCCTTAATTTCGGGTATATAAGTAGGAAGCAACATAACATGGCTTGTTATGATGCCGCAGGTATTGAAGCCAACAACGCACCAAAATTTAACTTCCAGGTATGTCTCAATTTACAATATCAATTACGGGGATAGGAATTTTTTGTTATTTAGTTCACGATTAAAACTTTTGTAACCAGGGTTATTTGGTCGGAAACGGATTAACGGATGTAAATATCGATTTGAATTCGAGGGTTCTATTTGCTCATCGTATGGCACTTATATCGGATGAACTCTATGAGGTTAGATTACTCATTTCGTTTGTATTATGAATTCATAACCAACAAATTTACAACCGATTTGTTGTTAAATTTTAAGTTTTCTCGTCAAGCACTTGTTTCAATTTACTCTTCAAAGTTCAAAATGAGTTATTCTCTCTCACTGAACTTTTCAAAAGCATGTTTTCTGCCCCCAAACTCCCTCTAAACTATGATTCTTGTCTCATTATGCCCCAAAACTTTAAAGCATAGAATCCTTACCTCGTTGATCTAATATGTAAAAGTTTTGAAAATACTCTCCTCATCTCTCTTTCAATTTAATCCCTAGACAGAATGGTCAGAAGTGAAGTTTTCAAGTTGGTGGTTGATTTTTTCTCCCACAATGATTTTCCATTACTTGAGGCATATTGAGCAAAATTTGGAAAATTTCTTGTAGCAATATATATATATATATATATTTTTTAATTAGTAATGGCAAATGGATTTAACAAGAATCAAGCTTATAAATATTTTGTTGGGAAAAAAATGATCAAGTTTTTGCTCAAATATACTTCAGGTAGTTGGGGGTATTTATTAGATAGAAACTCAACCTTAATCACTGTCCAAATATTTAGTCACAAATTGACAAAAAAATAATAAATGTATCAGGGGCATTTCTGAGATAAGTTTCCTAGAATAGAAGATTTAATACTTTTAGAAAGCACATGAAGATCATGACAATAACGCATTTTGAATTTCAAGGGCAAATACAACATGTGCATAAGTTTCCTTTTAAAAAAAAGGAATAAAACTTTTGAAATTTATCCAAAATTTGAAGTAGTTGCTTGATTGATATCTCAGTCAGCGAAGAACAACTGCAAAGGGCAATACCATGGAAACCACGACGACAATAAGCTATGCGGCGACGATCTTAATGCTATCTCACTCGTAGGAATATCTTTCCCTCACTTTCAATAAATTTTGTTTATTATTATTATTATTATTTTTGCTTAATATGCTGCTCACATGATTTACTTAATTGTATTTGCCTCTTTTATTTTATTTTATTTTTTTATTTTTATTTTTTTCTCTCGCAGTGTACTGAAAAGATAAACATCCAACATATCTTAGAGCCTTTGTGTAGTTCAATCTTTACTTTAAATGGGAAGGTGGGATTTACCAACCGTAAATCACTCTTGGAGAAGTCATTACCTGGTTTTCCTGATTTGGGGTGCAGGGTAAACCCGATCCTCAGCTCTCTTTAATCCTATTTTTACATTAAAAGAGAAAAGATCGAGATGTTTTTGTAACTGATTATTGATCAATTCCGTTTGAAGAGCTATGATACCGTATTGATCCATTTCTGGGCAAATGATGAACGTGTTCAACAAGCGCTTCATGTTCGCGAAGTAAGAGAACTTGTCTTTGGCTAGTTATAAAGAGCAATCTGAGGAATATAAGTATTGTCATGACTCTTATTATTAATCTCTGCGAAAATGATGAGCCAGGGAACGAAAAAGACATGGATAAGATGTCCGAAGAACTTGCCTTACAAGGAGATTCTCCCGAGTGTTGTTAGCTATCATCAGCGTCTCAACTCGCGAGGCTATCGGGCTCTTATATACAGGTTTGGTTAAACTAATGAAAATTATGTTCCTTTTCTCTCTGTTTTTCTTTTTTTTTTTTTTTTTTTTTTTTTTTTTTTTTTTTTTTTTGCATTGGTGCATCATGAACTTGTTTAGTATCTTCTTCGACTCCAAATTAATAATTTCTGCAATTGAGGCTCTAAATTTGAAAATCTATTACAATTCTGGTCCAATTCCTAAAGGCACGGTTGATTGAAGAAAGTGTTTCACGATTTTTGCACAAATGTAACCAAAACTTTTTGTTAGTTGGTAAACTGAACCCTAAACCTTTTGAATTTTGGTAATTGGGATCCTAAATATTATCTCTTAATTAATGTATGTATTGATTAGATTGCATCGTTGAGGAATATCAAAGTTAGGGTCTCGATTGCCAAACGTAAATGATGAAAGTCCTAAGATGTATTGGTCCAAATTGCCCAAAAAATGAAGCAGTGAGATAAATACTTGGTTCCAATATCTCAAAGATTGTGATTAAAATTAGGGGTGTTTATGGGATCAAATCAACCGGTCAAATTGAAAATCTAATCCAATCAAATCCAATTTTAACAGATAATCGACCTCAGTTAATTGGATTAGATGTTCATTTTACCTTCAGAATACCTAATCTAAATCGATTTAATCTCCATATGTATTATATATAAAAATCTATAGATACATATGAGTTTATAATTTACATGTAAATACAAATTCTTTTTTGATGCACTTTCACATGCCCAATCAAAATTTCATTGTGTTCTTTTTTTTTTTATTGTTTTATCAATTTATGTTCATTTCTTTAAGTTGCTTGTTGGATGTTGAATAATTACACTTTCAATAAATTATATGTCGAAAAAGAAGGAAAAATAAGGAAGGAAATTAGGAGAGAAGGATTCAAAGTTCAATAGAAATGCTCAAGCAGAAAACCTATATATTGGTCCAAGCCAATCTAAATTGACCTCAATCAGATTGGATTAGATGATATATACACTAATGATTCGATAAGATTGGATTGATTGTCTAGAAACCGATCTGATTGGATTAGTTGCGATATAATGACTAAAATAGTTTGGATTGGATGAACAACTCTTATAATTAAAATCACCCTAGTTGGATGAATTTTCTATTTAGATCGTAAAAGAAAAGTTAACTTTTTGTTTTTTTTTGTTTTTTTCTGGTAGTGGAGATCATGACATGATGATTCCTTATATTGGATCCCAAGCATGGATCGAGTCTCTGAATATTCCCATTGTTAGTCAATGGAGGCCATGGCTGGTTGATCACCAAATTGCAGGGTAGGTAACAATTGATTTCTTTAACTTCGTAGTTGGAGTTGTAATCTGAATCTGTTTATGTACTACATATTTGTCATTCAACTTCTGTAGTTCTGTTTGTATGCAGATACGTGACTGAGTATTCAAATGGCATTACTTTCGCCACTGTCAAGGCAAGAATTGCTTTTCCCTAAACTAACGATTGGTTTAATAAGATATACATTAGGATTAGAAAAATGAAATTACCGCCCTACACTAACGATTGGTTTAATAAGATATACATTAGGATTAGAAAAATGAAATTACCGGTAGTTTTATTTTTTTCAGCCGTTTTTAACCACCAGATTTGTATTAGAAACTGGCTGTTTTGCGTATTTTTCAATCTCATTTAATTTTGATAAGATTCAATAGTTAAAAAACTGATCTATAGCTAGGATGACCTACCGAAAGCAATCCATATATATTTATTTATTTATAAGAAACTTTACAAGATACCACACGTATATTTCGATATAATGCAATGGTACCAAAATAAAATTTTCCTTTCTTTTGTTTGGTGTCGTAGGGTGCTGGACATACAGCTCCTGAGTACCGGCCTAAGGAATGCTTTGCCATGTTCAAAAGATGGATTTCTCATGAACCACTTTGATCAACTCTGCAATGAGTAACTATTGTATTTGTATTTCAAATCAAATGTTAGGAATTTTATTCCTAAATTATTTATGGGAGCTTATCAGCAAAACCAGTATGAGGACGTGGTTTAATTTTGATGTTAATGTATTAACAGTTCTAGTATTTATCTTTTGGTTGGTTTATTTAAGATTTATCTTAAGAATTTTATTAATGTTTTAGTAATTTCAAATTAAGATTGTATCCGATGCTAGTTTGATGATATGTTTCAGATAATAAGACGACAAATTCTATATTATACGACGTTTATTTAACAATGTTTTAAGAAAAACCGCTTTCTAATGTGGTGAAAAAATACGGAACGAAAATTTATGTGTTTCAAAAACTTCATACTATATATTAGATGACGGTTTCTAGAAAACCGTTGTTAAATGTTAGACATTAGATGACGATTTTTAAAGAACCGTTGTCTAATGTATATAAAACAAATAAAATTAAGAAAATTTGAGCATATTAAATGACGGTTTTTTAAAAACCGTCGTCTAATCTCTAGATTTTCAAAAATTTTCAAACTGTCGTCAAAAGTTTTCAAAAACAAAAAAGCGGACTTTTTCCCACTCATTTTTCTCTTTTCAAATTTTGAAACTTTCTTTCCCTTCTATAATATCGAGCACTCTATTCCACTTTTCTTTTAACTCTCATTTCTAACCTCTAAATTTCTCTCTCCCCCTCTCACTTCCTCATTTCCTCATTCTCTATCTTCCCTATTCTCTCTAAATTTTGGATTGTTTTAAAATTTTATTATTAAAAGTGCACATTTAATGACGATTTTTGCAAAAAATGGTCGTTAAAAGTAGCACATTTAACGACGGTTTGTATAAAAACCGTCGTTTAAAGTGCTTTCGTTAGATTTTCTTGCGCATATTAAACGACGGTTTTAAAGTGCCTAACATTTAACGACTGTGGAGTCATCATAAGTTTTAACGATGGTTATTAACCATCGTTTAATATACTATTTCAACTGGTGTAAGTTGCAAATTTTAATTTTAAATCTGCATAAGGAAGCATTTCCTTGAACTTTTATAAACGAATGGAGTGATAAAAAAAATAAAAATAAAAATACATTGAGCATCAAATAACTATGATGGTGCAAGATTGCATTGGGATTGGATCCCAGTTAGATTTCTATGAAAGGGATTTAGCAAGGATCGTAATTTCCAACTAATAATGTAGAGATGAAACATAAAGAAACTTTAGATCATTCAAGAGGGTTCATCATAAGTTGTTGCAGCTGAAGGTAGATCAAACAGCTTAGAGTAGGTCACTTAGACTGAAGACCTAGGTGTTTTCACGGTTTGCTAGTGAAGGAGTTTCTCGGATAATCTCATAATATTTCTGTAGAAAAAATTGTTGAACATATTCTTAGATTAGTGCATGAGTCTCAATTTTTACATCTTCTTACTCTTAATTAATACCTTTTTGACTAATGTAATTTGATTAAAAATTATTGGGGCAATTTTTATAAGTCAGACATCAAAAGGTTATTATTTAAAGGGTCATTTGTTTCCTTTTCCCAATTTTATATGTTTTGTAAACCATAACGTGAAGTCAATATTTCTCTTGCTCTTGCTTGTGTAATTCTACACCCATTTGCTTTTTTCTTTTAGTTTTACACACGTTAAATAACCACATTCGTGATTCGCGCGTGTGTGTGTGTGTGTTTTTTTTTATGGTTGTTTTTTTTTTTAATTTTTATACCATATATTTAAAATATCCTTAAAAAAAAGAGAAATTCAAAAATCAGACAAGCAAAACAAAAAAAATAAATAAATAAAGGAAGAAAAGAAATTGGATTTGCCAAGATTTTCTCCCCCAGATAGGACGCAGCCCCACCTGGTAGTTTCTCCGGAGTCTCCCCAAACACCCAACGCTCTTTACCTAGAAAATCCAAGAGAAAATCTGGGAAATCTCATAGCTTTTTAGTCTGGAAGATGAAGTAGAAGGGAGCAAACTAGCTTTGTGCCATCTTCCATGTCGTGCTGCTCATAAGTCACAACCAAACTCTAGTGGATTGGCTGCAAATGCAAGCCTTGGAATTAAGGATTCTTTACAAAAATACCGTAAATTCAAGACTTGGATGGACTTATGTCACAGAAAAAAATAATAATTACAGAGAATACGACGTCATGTCGATCACATTTTATTTTAAAATACAAAATACTCTTAAGATATCAGATTATATCCACCATAATAGTAGACGGTATTCACCGTGATAGCGATTAGTAACCAGTAACCATTATGATACCCATCAATAATCGTCAATATTCACTGTGATATTGGTCAATTAACGAGCAGTAACTATCGGTATCCACCTAAATATATATATTTTGCTGTGATACTGGCTGGTATCCATAGTAACATTGACAGATAATGGCCTAGTTTGGTATTGATTTTCGCTCCCAAAATCAGCTTTTGCTTGTTGCAAAAGTTGATTTTAATATTTAGTAAATCTCCTCAAAAGTATTTTTTGAAAATTTTTTGAAAAATCTACAGATAAAATCAGAAACAGTCTAAATGCAACTTTAACTTTTAGATTGTGCGGAAATCAACTTAATACAATTAATAAAATTTCATAATACCCATAATACCCCTAATAAAATTTAAAATTTATGATCTTCCCAATCTAAAATTAAGACTAGTAATATAATATAATATAATATAATATAATATAATATAATAATACAATAATATAAAATAATATAAAATAATATAATAGTAATATTGTAATAAATAATATCATAATTATATTAATATCTCTAATATTATTATTTTATCATATAATATGATATTATAATAATATTATAATTATTTTTATAATATGATATTATAATTATAGTATAATTATTGGCAAAGTCTTTGGTCAGGTAGGCATCTTTTGCCTGATCAGAATGACAGTTGTACAATTTAGAGATTTATTGTACATTTACATAACGACAGTTGTACAATTAAGTATAAGTCTTGTATATTTACACATTGTACAATTCAACATATGCCTTGTACAATGTAGCATATGAAAGTTGTACAATTCAGTATAAGTCTTGTATATTTACATGTAAAGATGTATAAGTTATACGACAAGTTGTACAATTCATCATATGTCTTGTATATTTACATACGGCAGTTGTACAATTCAACATAAGTCTTTGTATATTTACAAAAGTATAATGTTGTTGTTTTCAAACGTTTTAACTAGCATTGAAGGTAATATTTTGTTCCTTATATGATTTTTCTATAAACTTTCAAGTTATCACGCGATGAGCTTATGTAATTACCATTAAATTTTTAAAATCATTTATTAGTATCCAAAGTTTTGCTCAAGGCAAACACAAAGTTCAGGGATTAATCAACCAAAAAAAGTTTAGTTGCGAGCGTTGTCGTGAGGCGGTGGGTCTCCTCGTCCGTCTGTCGGAAGTCACCGACAGCGAGATGGCTGCGGAGGAGGTCGAGAGAGAAATGAGTTTGGTTGTGGGAGTGGGAGTGTGCTTGAGAGACGCATGAAAATAAACTTTTCATCTACACCGTCCATTTTTTAATCTGATGGCCACAATTTTTGAGCGGATTAGTCAGGTAAAATTAATGTGCCGGATTAGAGACTCATCCTTAATATGAATATTGACTGATTTGTTGTACTTCATGTTATTCATTTGTTTCTTCCAATTGATCACTTCCTCGTCGGTGTCTTACTGTACGAAGTCGTCCTCCCAATCAAACAAACCCATAATTTTACCAAACAACTCCACTGTGAGGACAAGCGTCTTCCCGTAAATAGTCAATGAGCAATCCTCCTCTTTTAAGTTGTCCACCATCCACATAATCACGCATATATTGGCGACTATTGTCTTGAACTGGCTTTCAAAGATGGCAACCTTAGCACTGGGGAAATTGGCACCAACATCAATTGTTGGCTCACTAGTAGTGCTCGCCTGTGTTTTCAATAAAGCTACTCAGTCACTTTTGTTAAATTTGCAATTTAACTTTAGAAGTTGTGGTGGTGTGGATGGCTCTTTCGCCTACTGTAAAACGGTAAAAGCCGCTGCTTTTCCTAAGCTCTTTCCCCTTCCATAAGCGATTAAAGGGTTGTTCTTTTGCATTTTTGATTTAGGGTGACTAGAGTGATGATCTTGAGTTGAGTTTGAGTTATAATTTGAGTTGAAGTTGTAACTTGAGTTTGTGTTTGGATGTGCACATTTGAGTTATAATTTGAATTGAGAATCTTTTTGAGTTTGTGTTTGGGTGAGTCAAAACTTAAATTTGTATTTAAATAGTATTTTAATAAAAACTCAATGGTGATGAAAAATTTTAATAGGGTATATGGGTGGGGTTTTATTCTTCTTTTCGTTGTGAATGCATAGGAAAAAAAAATCTCAATCAGAATTAAAATGAAAAAGTTATGGCATTTTTAAGAATAGAAAAAATATTGTTTATTAACTTGAGTTTGAGTTGAAGGAGAAACTTGAACTCGAGTTTAGCCCAAAATTTAAGTTCAAACTCGAGTTTAAACTCAAATTTTACAAAAGAACATGAATTTAAATAAAATTGTAATTCGAGTTCAAACTTTTTGTTGTAAAAGAACAAACTCTAAGCCTCACACTTTTTTTTTTTTTTTTTTGCTAATCAAGCCTCTCTCTGTTTTATTCAGAGAAAGAGCTTTTTTTTTTTTTTTTAATTGGGTTCCACATTTTTTTAATATATTTTTTCCTTGTAGCTATCTCCCTTGCCTCTCACATATACACGTGGCCACTAACCTCACTCTTCCTTCTCCCTTTTCTCTTCGTTCAACGCATGGCCAATAAAAGCTGCCACTTACAATATACAGAAGCTAGCACCTACATATTACATATTATATTGTATTGATATAATTATATTAATACTATTATAATAATTATATAATTAAATATAAATATAATTTAATAATTCTAATATTATTATCTATTATAGTGTATTACACCTTATGATTATATAATATATTAATTATAATATATTATATTATAATATAATGTAATTGTAATTTTTAATTATATTATAGCTGAAATATTATTATTTTTTATGTAATATTATAATATGTTTTATAATATTGTAATTATATTAACCATTTTAATAATATTATTATATTCTACATAATAATTATATAATATGTTATTTGATAATAGTTTTATTGTATTACATTAAATATAATAATAAATATACATTATATTGTAATTATATATGTTTGTATTGTAATTATATATATATATATATTATATTATAGTATAATATAATATAACCATAATTTTTAACTATCAACATCAATTTAACTTCATAATTTATAAACATTATTATACTGATTTTAGAATCGACACAGCTACTATAATTATAGTTTACCAAACACTCAACTGTTTTTTGTAATAACTACTTTATCTTTCAGCACAACTAAAAGTAATTTTTTTAAAATCTACAATAATACCAAACTAAGCCAATAACTGTCAGTACTGATAGCACAAATATTGTCTTGTCACCAAAATACTTTAAAATCACAGAAATATTCACACAAAAAAAAAACAATAAATCTAAAGAATCGTGAAAGATCTCACAAAACCACAAAAATTACAAAAAAAAAAAAAAAAACAACCGAAAAACTCGTATCCAATACAACTCGAGTTTCAACTTTATTCAAGTTCACGTTCTTTTAAATTTCAACTTTATTCAACTTTATTCAACTTTATTCAAGCTACAACTTCAACTCAAGTTATAACTCAAATTCAAATAAAAAACTACACTCAAGTTACACTTCAAAAGAACAACCCCATAACAACTTTAAAACCACGTGCGGCAGAAGCATTCCGGGGTATGCTCAAATTTATTTTATTTTCTCATCACCATTTTTCAGCGTCAACCTTCCACTTTCATGATCCTCATCATCAAACAGCAGACCAACAGAGTGGATGAATAGCCATCCTTCTCCTTGCTAGTGTCCATCTTCAACTCATTTTTCTATTACTTTTGCTGTTACGGAAAAAACGACACTCTTTTGAAGAGAACATGGATACAATTACGCATTTCACCAAAGTTTTCAAGTGTACTTATATTCATCTCTTCATTTATTGCTTGATACTTTTCTCTGATTCTGTGGTTCCTTCTTCACCAAAGTTTTCAAATTTTTTATTATTATTACTATTACTATTATTACTATTATTATTATTACTATTACTATTATTATTATTATTATAATTATAAATATAATTATTATTATATTAATAATAATAATAATAATTATTATAATATTAATTATATTAATTATTATTATTATTACTATTATTATTATTATTATTGTTATGAGATTCCCATAATTTTGAGATTCTCGAGAATTTGAATAACACCTTATTGGGTGGGTTTAGGATTACTTCAAAATGTGGTAATGTGAAACCCATGGACTTCATTTTCTTGGGTTTTAAAAAAGTTAAATAATTGTATCAAACATGAGAATCTGAAAGATTTTCATTCCCACTCCTATGATTACCCCGTACCAAACGCCCCCTAAAATACACAACTATGGAATACGAATCTGCAAAAGACGTCAAATTTAAGCATGTCAGATGGAATTTTCTTTAAGAAATAACGGAATTTTGTCTCTGAAAGGGCAACAAAACTCAGGAAATCGTTTGGAATTTCCTTGTGCTAATGGACATGAAAATGAGGTTGAAAAATCGTGGGGAATTTGGGGGAGAGAAAAAAAAAGAAAGAAAGAAAGAAAGAAAAAGAATATGAGAAATCGTGAGAGAGAGAGAGTGGAAAAAAAATAGTAAGTGTTGAAGAATTTTGTGCTGCGAATTTCCTACCACACCGTCACCATGTTGCCAAGTACCCATTAAGTTCCGCTGCAACGTCCCCACCACACAACGTCGGAAGTTTCGCCCCCGCCCTGCACAATGTCTCAACTCCCCCTCTCTTCAATGTTGGTAACCATCTCTCCCACCCGGATCACTCTTACACCGGCGCCATAAGAACCAGTCCTAGTTTTTCTATTTTGATTATTTTTAATTATTTTTTGAATATCTTCTTCTAAACAAACTTTTGAACTTATTTATTCTCTTTAATTAGTATTATTAAAAAAAAAAGCTTGTAAAGGTTTATGTTTTCATAGAACTAGTTAAGGTTTTTTATTTCTCTACAATTGGTGCCAAAATTTCCTAAAAAACAATAGTAGATTCAAAATCAAGTTTATTGGGACCTTCTCTAGTACATTCATATACCGGTAAGTTAAGTTTTATGTTCGTTGAATTTGTATAAAATCACACGAAAGTTAAAAAGCACATAGATTTAACATTTAAAAAAACTTGATCTATCAATACACTAATCGTACAAAAAAATCTCCATTATATTTTTAAGTAAAAGAGAATTTCGAATATACCCTTATACTATATGCCACAAGCAAACTTTTGGTCACTTTCCATGAAAAAACCAAAGAGAGCGTTTTTTGGTTCTTTTTTCTATGAGGAACATATATTTTTCTTTTTTTTTTTCCTCTTATGGGACATGAGGAACATATATTATGTTTTACAAATTGAGCTACGGAGAGCATAGTTGAAAAATTTTTGTAATTATTATTTTTATATATAATAAAAAAACAAAAAAAAGTTATATAAACTTGCATAGTGCCCATCTGAAAAAAGAGTTCAAATCTGTTGTCCTCATTTTCTAATTTCAGCGGCTGTCTTTCACTATTAATTTACTATATCATTTAAATTTAGAAATTTAATCTTTGAATAGAAACAAAAAACTAAAAATACATAAACAATTCACGATGTGTCAAAATTTAATCGGTGTGACAATCACATAGGCAGAAAAATGGTACAATAGATTTTTATTCCCCAAAAAATCTTACATATGTAAAAGCTCATCACGTGAAGAGAAAGAAATTAGTTGTCAACGATGGATGAATGTCCCCTGAATAATAACAATAACAATAATAATAGTATTAATAATAATAATAATAATAATAAATCAAGAACTCCTTTTTTTCGCTTGAGTACAACAAATCATACACGTTTACAACATTTGGTGGGATCACTATGAATAAAATGAAAATGAAAACTTTAAAACCACATGCGGCAGAAAGATTCCTTGGTATGCTCAAATTTATTTTATTTTCTCCTCACCATTTTTCAGCGTCAACGTTCCACTTCCATGATCCTCGTATCAAACAACAGAGAAATAGAGTGGATGAATAGCCATCCTTCTCCTTGCTAGTGTCCATCTTCAACTCATTTTTCTATTACGGAAAAAACGACACTCTTTTGAAGAGAACATGGATACAATTAGACATTTCACCAAAGTTTTCAAGTGTACTTATATTCATCTCTTCATTTATTGCTTGATACTTTTCTCGGATTCTGTGGTTCCTTCTTCATCAATAGTCAAGTCACTTCCAGGATTTCCCGGTCCCCTTCCTTTCAATCTTGAAACTGGGTGAGGCTCTAGATGTTTTCCGCAATTTATTTTTGGTGTTATTATTGAAAAGGATGATTTCATCAATTTAAGCATCCATGAATGTTACGTAGATCTAGTCTAGTTTGAAAAGTAACGTGATCTTTTTTGCAGATACATAGCAGTGGATGAGAAGGAAGATGTTCAGTTCTTCTATTACTTTGTTGAATCTGAAGGGAGCCCAAGAGATGATCCTCTTATGCTTTGGTTCACTGGTGGGCCTTTCTGCTCTGGTTTCTCTTCGCTTGCTATTGGGATAGGTAAATCTCAACTTTAATGATGTATCTATGTAGATGCCAGTGAGCGCACGTACTCCTATTAAAAATACAGAAAGATTATTTGGTAAACACGTTCAAGTGTTTTGAATCAAATAGTTCAAATGAATTAGGGTTTGTTCTTTTGGAGTAAAGCTCAAAAAAATTTTGAACTCAAGTTATAACTTTTGGAGTTCAAGTGTTCGGTAAAAAATTTTCGACTTGGTTCAAATCATTGATGTTTTGAACAAACATAAAAACATTGAGATACTAAGAAAATATATAAAAATATAGGGATTAATTTCACAAATAGTTCTAAGGTTTACTCTCAATCACTTTAGTATTTGACTTAAAACGTTCAACCGTTTGTCTTTAAGGTTTTGTTTTATTTTGTTTTAGTTTAGTTCTTTCATTAGTTAGATGTTAAATATTTGACAGGATATCTGTGAAAATTAAGAACCAAAATTAGAAACACCTAAAGTTTGAAGACTAATTAAACAGCTAAATTTTAATTTTTTTCAATTTTAATCTCTAATTTATACAATTTCCATCAAATATTTAACACTCAGTAATAGAAGGACTAAAAGTGAAACATAATAAAACTTTAGGGATCAATTGCGGGACATTTTAAAAGTCAGGAATTAAAGTGAAATTGAAAGTAAATTTTAAGAACCATACGTGAAAATAACAGTTTATCCCGTTTTAATTGTTTTAAATCAAAAGTTCAAACCACATGTCGTAAATTTTTCATTTCAAACCATACAAGTTTTAAACTAAAAAATGGGATGTATTATTACTTTATACTTTTTTTGGAGACATATGTCTCGTTTATTTCACCAATTCGAGTTTTCAATTCTAGTTTTATTACAGTAAAAATCTTTCATAAAAAGTCAAATCTAACTTTTTTGTTACAGTTAAAAGCACTTACATAAAGTCACATTTCAATTCAAATTAAAAACTCAAATCGGCGAACTGAACTGAGTGAGACCTTAGACTTTAGGAAAGAGAAAATGCATGGTCCAAATTCCATTACTTGTCTTGCGTTTCCTGAGAGAGAGCATCATTTTAGAGGCAACCAACATTGTAGTAATTAACGGCCAGTGAGGAAAGCATTTTTGAGTGTTTAAGATAATTGTGGAAGGACAAATTCCAGCCTAGTGGCCGACAAGTCTTAGAAATAGTCTTGTAGATCACGTAACGAAAGACTAATGAGATGTAAACTGTTAAGCTTTTCTGAGACTTGACTTTAGGAATGAGGGTAAGGTTTGAAGTGATTATTGTTATTGTTTTAATAAGGCGTTTGAGGATTTCTTTTTTATTCCTTTCATACTTAAACGTATATTTTAAGTTTGTGCTAGCCTGAGACTCGTTACTATTAGTTGAGTTCTGACTCATCTTGAAGATGTTGAGCCTAGAAACTTATTCGGGTAGAGCCGTACGGCCAAAACACTTTTTTTTTTTTTTTTTTTTTTTTTAAAAATCCTTTTAAAATTTTTGGTTGGGCCCGGAATGGTTTTTTTTTTTTTTTTTTTTTTTGATTTTCAAAATGCCTTATAAAGTTCTAGGTTGGCTCGGTTTGAGATTTCCATTCAAACTGCTGGATTGGGCCCAAACTTAACTAAAGTAATTTTATTTTGAGAAATAGTAGAAAATAGGCTAATATAAAAAGTTTAAAAAAGTATAAAGGCCAAATTTTAGTTATAAAAATTAATAGGTTATAACTTGTCAAATTATAGCTCATAACCAGATAAGTTATGGATAAACTTGTCAAGTTATGGTTCATAACCAGACAAGTTATGAATAATTATGGACAATAACTTGTCAAGTTATGGTTCATAGCCAGACAAGTTATGGACAATAACAGACAAATTATGGACGAAAACAGTAATTTAGCCTATTTATTAACTTATGTAAACTATTGACCTATCAATTTTAAGTCTTAGCTTTTTTTTTTTTCTCCCTTTTATTTTTTTTCCCTATTTGCTAGAAAACATTCATTACTACCAATAGGTGCGAAGAGCAGGCAAATAATTGAGTTTTGATATTGTTTCTTGAGCAATAACTTTTCAAAAAAAATTACTACCTCAAAGTATATTATTTGAATTTTTAATAAAAAAAACATAAGAGAAATTCCTTAAAACAAAAGGTAAAAATTGATAAAGTCCCCGAATGATGAGAAAGACACGAAGGGGATATTTGGTTGGAGGATTCAAATCATGATTTGAATCATTATTCATGGTTCGTTACAGTATTTTCTCTCACAAAAAATACACGTAAATCAAAAATAGTTTTAATCACATAATTTTAATCTATAAACCAAACGTCTCTGAAATTATCAGTACAGGTGGATTTAATGATTGTACCCTCGTACTAAGTGAGTAAATAAGGTGTAACTAAAGCAAGATGGTTTCTTGTGTGTGAAAAAAAAGAAAAGAAAAAAGATGGTTATCTACGTCCTTTTTTGCAACTTTTTCTCTCCCATTTTCATTCTAAATTTTGAATGATTCAAATATGATGGACCCTATTGATTTTTACTTCTTTCCTTCTTAATTTTATCTCTAAGAAATTACAATCTTAGGGTGCGTTTAGAATTGGTTCTAAAATAATTTTATTTTTTATATGAAAATAAAATGAAAACGTTTTCATTTTTATTTTAGAATCATTTTTAAAAATGTGTTTGATAGTTTTATTCTGAGATTGATTTCAGTTTAAAAAAAACTGAAATTGTGTTTGGTGGTTTAATTTTAAAAACATGTAATAATATTTAATATTAAAATATATTAAATAAATACTAATAAATCATTTTTGAACCAAATTCCACAATTCCACAACAAACCCAATTCGTCTCTCTCTCTCTTTACATTTTCAAACAAAAACCAAACCCAGCAACCCCATCCCTCTCTCTCTCATCTTCGATCAACAAAAGCCAGCCCGTACAGCAAAACAAAAATAAAAATC